GGGGGGGGGGTCTCTCTGCCCGAGTCTACAAGCCCCGCCCCGCTGCAGCACGCAGGGGAGCGAGACCTCCTCCCTGCCTCTCTGTGTGCCGGGGCAGGGGGAGGGCTGCGCTCTGCAGGCTCCTGCCGGCCAGGCGGGGGGCCCCGTGGGCTGGCGCCGCCGCGCCGGGAGCTCTCAGCTGCGCGCTGCCCCAGGGCCCAGGGAGGAAAGGTGAGTGGCCCCGGCTTGCCGCGGTTCCCCCAGCGCGGCTGCCCTGTCCTCGCTTTTGGGTCTTTAAATAGCCGTCCGGGGGGAAATCCCGGACATTTTTAGCTTTTTACAAATTCCCCCCGGACGGCTATTTAAAGACCCAAAAGCCGGACATGTCCGGGGAAACCCGGACATATGGTAACCCTAGAATTAAGTAACAGTCTTTCCTTCCATTTCTTAAAGGAGTATTTTATTAAAAAGTGGGATAGTTGCTGTCTGAAGAGTTACCATGTGTTATGTATTAAAAAAAAAAAAAAATAGAAAGTCTGCAAGTTTCATTTCCTTTATCTCCACTCTTACGCACACACAATAACTGTGTCTTCCCTTTCCTGCCACCATTTTCCTGTCTTCAAAATAACAACAAAAAATCTGTTCAAGACTGATTCCCATTTCTCCACCATCTCCATTCTCCTGAAATAAAAAGATGCAGAGTATTGGTCCATCTTCAGTCTCTTCTCTGCTCATTCTTGTTTGTGTCTTGAAGCATTTTTACCATTTACCCTCCAAACTTTTTATGGAGGACACTAACCAGCACTACTCTTGCTCAAGAGGAAATGTTGGGTTGCTGCAAAGGAATCCCAGGGTCATACTGTGTGGAGAAGTCTTTGTGGTGATCGTATCTCAAAATATATTGTAGCAGGGAGAAAGGTCATAGATCTTCTGGGTCCATTTTACAGCTGTGAAATGGTAGAGAGCAGCAGACACCTCTCTAGTAGAGCTTCTGCCCAGAGATCCAAGTGTTGAAAGCTGGCACTGCACTTGCTTTTTAAATGCTTTGGCTGACATGCATTCAGAACCAGTGAATTCTTCCATGCACTAAGTCTTGAAACCCTGTATAAAAAGAGAAAAAAATTGAATCCCAATTATAGAGGAGAAATCTCTATTAATAGGCTAAGAAGCAATGAATTATCTTGCTATTTCAATAGGCTTGAGTGCTTTTTAACTGTACTAAACTTAGTATTCTATTTTAATTTTTAACATGTAAAGATTACTGTTGTGGAACTGATGTCACACATCCTTAAACTTTGTGTACAATAACATTTTCCCCAACCTCTTCCTATCTCTCCCCCCTCTCCCTGCCCCAATATTTTTGTAGGCCAAATGAATCTGATGAGCCCTCAGAATGTTCAAGTTGATGTTGTAAACACAAATTTCACTCTAAGATGGAGCTGGGGTAGTGAGAATGACTTCAGTGTGACATTTTCAGCTCAGTACCAACGGTAAGCTTACTTTTTTACTGTGAGCCAAAATTATTTGACATCCATTTCCTAAGAAGGGGAAAAAACAAAACAAAAACCCACCACTGTGGTTTGTTTGTTTATTGATATAAAAATTGTTAAAAATAAGCACAAGAGCACACTGGTGACCCAAGAAAAGTGATGTTTTTATAGTGGTTTGTGTGCTGCTTTTCATCACTCTGTATAGTTTGAACATGTAGCCACATTTTTAACACCCCAAATCTGGAACTGTTTTTGGTTACAAGAGTTTCAAAACATTGATGTTAGTGTTTGAAGTGGTACTAATCTTCTGTAATTCATAGAGCTTTGGGAGTCCTGGCTTTCTAGTAGTGCATCCTTACACCCAGGCTGTCCCAAAGTGTGAACTGCTAAATCTGGGAATCTACAAGCATTTTAGGGGCATATCAAGGGTTGTCCCTTAGACACAGTGGTCTTTAGGTTAAAAGTTGCAGTTCAGTCTACTGGTTAAAACCTAGTTCCAGCTAGGTTAAGGGATAATTCTGATGTGGTTGTATTTGTAGTGCACAGAAGTTCTCCCACCGACATAGCACTGTGCACGCTACCACTTACGTTTTTCACATCCCTGAGCAACATAAGCTTTGCCAACATATGTGGTAATGTAGATGCCAAAATACATGTGTGCCATAACTTTATTTATTTAGATTTCTATCAGTGTGGATTTTGTCCTAAAGAATCACTAAAAAAATATAGAAGAGCAAAATTTTCATTTATATCAGTGGATTCTGGATCAGGCCCAGAATGAATTCTTAAATCAACGTGAATGCCAAAATATGTACTTGCCCAATCGTCCAAGTGGATTAGAGGCCTATCTGAATCTTACAAAATTGGAATTTTAGTTTCTTTCAGATGATTGGATTGGATCGGATATGTGCAGGGGGAACATCTTTATGGGAATTATCAAAACTAGGAGGAGCTGCACTGGCGGTCTTGCTTGTACCAATCTAGATTAATTTTTCTCACTGCTGTGCATTTAAATGATCAGTCTTTGTATAAAAACAACAAGGAGTCCTCTGGCACCTTAAAGACTAACAGATTTATTTGAGCATACGTTTTTTTACCCACGAAAGCTTATGCCAAAATAAATCTGTTAGTCTTTAAGGTGTCAACGGACTCGTTGTTTTTGCGGATATAGACTAACATGTCTACCCCTCTGATACTTGAGTCTTTGTATAGAAATGCTTTAGCTTTTTTTGTAAGAAAACATCACTGAGAAACTTTTAAAATGCAGCACGAAGGGAAAACACAATCCTGTGCTGAATGTAAGAGTCTGGAGACATAACACAAATTTATCCAAAGTAAGGCAATCCCTGAGTATATCAAATTGAACAGCATAGACAGACTCATCTTAAAAATTTAGTATCAAGTGCACACACGGTTTATTTAAATATGTATATCCTGTACTTGTGAAGCTGTGTTGCATGCATTTCAGTCATGCCGCCAGTATGGACAAAAACACCCCAGCACACCATACTCTCTCACTGTTCATCAACATGTGAAGGGTCAGGTCATGCACTGCTAACTGGTGCCACAGGACTGCCCCAGAGATTTATGGATATGCAGGATTGAGAGTTGTGGGAATTTTGCTACACACTGCCTAGTCGATGTCATCAACCATGTTGACTCTGACTCTGGCTGGTGCAGTAGTCCTCAATAGATTATGCATGTTTGTTGCAACACTTTTTTGGGGTAGCTAGAACCATAAACCACTGTTACCTGCAAGGCAAGATTAAGACTAGCAGAGTCTCAAGGAGTATGCTGGTGAAGCGGATACACTGATGTGGCAGGGAGCTGACACACAGTTTAAGCTCCAGCAAAACTCTCCTTTGCTGAGGCAGAGAGGTAAAATTCAGAGTCCCAGCTCCTGAACCCCCTGGAAAAGCATTTCCCTGCAGCATCCAGACCCTGTTACTTGGTGCCCACAGAAATACCAAGTGTGCTGTCTCAAAAAAGACAGACTACGCACCAGTCTCTTGGCTCAGCTGAGATTGCACACTTCACTTTAATACAACAGCACTGATGTGATTATGGTAAAACTAAAATTAAATGTATTAATGAACAGAGATTTAAGTGATACTAAACAGAGATAATAGAAACAGAAAAGGATACAAGTAAAACAAATAAAACACACTTCCTAGTGTCTATAATTTAACAGATTACAATCCTGGTCTCAGGCAATTTCTTACCTACAGTCCATTTTCAGTATCCTCAACCCACATGGTTGGGGGGATCTACCTTTCACAGATTCCAAGTGTGTTTGGCCCCTTTTTGTCTCTTAAGCGATGGATAACAAAGGAGTCCTCCTTCTTTCCTTTTATAATCTAGAAAACCTTTGAAATGTATTTGAAAAATAAACCCAGGAAAAGTTCCCCTCTCCTGTTGTTCTTCATGGTGCTGGTGCCAAGCCCCTTCTTCATCCTCTTGTCAACTTGCTTACTTAATTGGCCTGATCACTTTGTTTACCTTAGATGCAAATGTACTTTTATTGTCTTTTTCTTGTAATCAAGCCATACTGTTTTTCTCATCTGCCTGTTAGCTTGATCCATGGAGACCGGCAAATCCACATTCCTTTATCTAGGGCAAGCTCATTTATCAACTGCCTCTACAACATTTTTAACATAAGAATGGCCATACTGGGTCAGACCAATGGTCCATCTAGCACAGGATCCTAACTTCTGACAATAGCTGGTGCCAGATGCTTGGGAGGGAATGAACAGAACAGGGAAGATATCAAGTGATCCATCCCCTGTCCTCCATTCCCAGCTTTTGGCATTTGGAAATTTAGGGACACTGTGATTGGGTGTAAAGGTCGCACACGGATGAGGAAGGGGCCAGAGAGGCCCTGGCAGCAGGGCTAACCCCACCCCTCTTGCCCTGCCAATCATGCATGATAGGGAGGAGGCCTTTAAAAGGGAGGAAGCTGCAATCAGCAGTGGGGGAAAGAGCAGGATCACCCTAAGCAGCAGACTGAAGGAGTGACTCCCAAAGCTGTGGAGGGAACTTCTGGGCAGGAAACCTTCAAACCAACCCTGAGGAGAATGCAGTGGACTCCCAGGGTAAGACAAACAAGCTGAGCCCATCCCAGAAACCAAGCCAGAGTGATTTCCCCAAACCCATTGCAAAGGGGCTGGATTGTTGGCAGCACTATAGACTTGCCACGTCCCCCACCCGTTTGCTGGGATCGCAGGGAGGGAGTATCCCTGAATATGTGGGAATTCTTGACTCATTTTGATCGTCCAGTCAGAGAGACTTAAGGAGCTCCACAAAAGGAAGAAACCCCCTGGTAATAGTGGGGAAGTGCAGCCTGGTTTGTGACCACCCAGTGTAGTTCACTGGGTGTGGTCAGGTTCCCCCACTGCCTAAGCGAGGAACCATCAAGGACTGCGTTACAGACACTTGGAGCATGGGGTTGTCTCCCTGACCACCTTGGCTAATAACCACTGATGGACCTATCCTCCATAATAGCATATTAAGAACATATTTCCAGCGCGCGCATATATATATATATATATATATATATATATATATATCTCCTTATATACAACTCATACATACATCACACAATGATATTCATGACCAGTGTGTCACCAGTTTTCATATGATACATTACAAGACATTGTTGGGCTAATTATTCTGACTCTGTGTTGGTTGTAGTAAGTTTATCAGACCTGTTGGGATTTATTGTTACATAACCATGTGCCCTTTGCCAGTTGCCATAAAGGAGCTCTTAGGATCACAGTTGGATGATGTGATGACATATGTGTAGGGGCCCCAACGGCCATGAAGTCTGCTCTTCCCTGTGAAATCTGCCAGGGAGGGGCAGGGCTGGGGGCACCCCAGCCTGGGCTCCTATCATGCACCAGACTCTGGCCACTAGTCCTGGTGGGGCTGGGGACTTGCTTGCTTTTCTCTTTTAGGGGTTGCTCCTGGGGCTGGTGAGACCCCACCTCTGGGAACCTCCCCCTGCTGCCGGAAGCTCCACACCTCCACCGCGTCCTTCCCCCATCGCTCCCCAGCTGTGGACGGAGGAGTCATTGTACATGGAGTAGCAGCAGAGCTTCTTGCAGATTGCTGGGGGGGTGGGGGGTGGATCCTGGAGGTGGATCTGACCCAGCCCTGGGAGCAGCCCCTGCATAAGAGAAGAAAGAAGTCCTGTCCCTCTTCAGCCCGTCCTAGACTACTGGAGCCTAATGCATAGTAGGAGCCATCGGCTGGGGTGCCCCCAGCCAACAGCATCGGAACTGGGGCCATGCCCCTCCACTCTTTAATGTGGGTGTAGCTTGGAGGGCAGAGGGCGGCATTGGCCCCACAAACTGCAATACTTGCACATTTATCAGCTCCCCCATTGCCTGCAATTTGCAGTTGCTGTCCCCTGCCCCCAAACTATGCCCATGTTAAAAAGTGGGGCAACATGGCTCCCAGTCCCACAGTTCCGGCACTGGTGGTCCCCCACTTCTAAAAAGGTCCCCAGCCCTGCCTCTTCCCATCTCCAGGCCCAGCACTCATAATTTAAAGGGGCATTGGGCTGGCTGGGAGATGGGGGCCCCGGTGCCCCCCAACCACAAGTCTCTGGGCAGTCACCCACCCATAATGCTAGCCCTGCCATCTCCCCCAAAGTGATTGCCCCCACCATCCCATGCAACCTTCACATCAGCACTGTCCCCTATTCTCCAGCTGCCCAGCTCTGAAGGCAGCACCTCCGTCAGCAGCAGCTGAGAAGTAAGGGTGGTAATGCTGTGACCCCCCTACAGTAGCCTTGTGGGGACGGACACACACACACACACCCCTCTTGTCGGTTGGGATCCCCATGCTTATAACACCCTGAAATTTCAAATGTAAGTATCTGAAACCATGAAATTGACTACTTTTAAAATCCTAGGACTGTGAAATTGACCAAAATGGACTGTGAATTTGGTAGGGCCCTAATTATGTATCAATGTGTATATCTGTAGGTCTGTACCTGTGATAATTTGAATGTTCTCAACATACTGAAAAAGTGCAAAAGAGCAAATGCTAGAAACTTGAGAATTTCACTATGAAAACACCGTATTATGGTTCCCATTGCAGCCAGGACACTGACTCTTGGTAGTACTTTGTGTTTGGGAAACACCATAGAATTAAGTGTCTGAAAATTCAATCCTAAACTGATGCACCCCTAAGAAGCAACCATGGCATAGTTCCCGCAAATCATATAATTCCTGTGTAGATGTTCCCCAGTATTGGCATGCATATCATTTGTAAGAACACATTCAATAGTAACACTGCATATTGTAAAAGATGCATGTAACAGATTATGTGGCTGCATTGAGATCCATACCTTTTTGAATTGCTGATTGTGTTTCAAATCATCTGTTTGGCTCAGAATTGAAAAACACAAGATTTGTGAATATTCCCCAGTAAAGAACTCTGATTAGCTGGTCAAGGTCTTTATAAATACAGAAAGAGAAACAATGGCTGGGTGCTCTTAATTTACAAACTTTAGTCATCAGATTAAACTGTTTTTATATCCTTATGTTCAGTTAGCTCCTTTTTTTTTTTTAGTTTGTGCTTCTTGCTTCTTTCTAATGTGGCTATTATTTCTCATTACCCCTTTCCCAACAAATAAATGCACAAACTTGTCTGGCTTAGTAGCAACTCCATAATTAAGATGTCAGAGAGAGAATTATATTATGTATTTGAACATGAAGATTAGGTGTGCTTCTCTTTATCTTTTGGGTGGGAGAAAGTTGGCTTCAAAAATACAGGGTTTACCTCAGAAACATGTAACACTGTCCTGCTGAAGACCAAATATAGTGGTTATACAACATCTTTAATGGTTATTTCTCAGTTTTCCAATTTTTTCCACTTTTAATCAGGAGAGTCATCTCTCTCCTATTGTTTGTGCCACTTCCTGATGTCTGAATTGTCTTTTGGAGACAGGTGATTTTTGGTGAGAAGCCCAGTTCTGATAGGATAGAATAGTTAACTCTCCTGTGTTTTTATTTTATTCTGTTTTCTTTTTCCCATTTGTTGTTTCTGATTTCCTATTCTGTCTCCTTTCCTTCATTTCTCTCCTTCCCTCCTCCAGTCTACTCACCCCTCAGCTATATTCTTTACTATTCACAACTGTAACTCCTTTTCCCCCATCCCTTTCCTTTGCCACTTAGGTCTCCTCCAAGCACTTTTTGCAACCCCTATTCTATCAGGGCACTTGAGGGGTAATAAAATACACCCCAGTTTGGTAGTGCACTCAGGATTTAATCCCAAAAACGATAATCCTGAAATTATCTTTATTTTTTTCTGTTGTGTTTAAATGTTGACTAGAAAAGCAAATTGGCAGCATGGATTCCTTATTCAATAACACTGCTCTACAGCCAAAATGCTTCTGAAATAAATGTAGTCAAACTTTACTAATTCTGAGTCACTGAGAACGAAAATGATGCTTAAAATTGTTGATTGGCTCTAGTTTTCAAGATATGCTATTGGGTCAGTATATACGACCCTTGACTTGGGAATGGCGGAGGATAAGTGAGTTATAAAGGGAAGGGATCTCAATTTAAACCAGAAATGACTAAAATACATCTTTGACTGGATCTATGAATAAATCTATGACTGGGTTTGGACAGTACTTGCTTTTTAGGCAAAACAATGAATGATGCAATCTGAAGCTGGTATTGCGTCATACATGATATGAATTGCATCATGTTATTCCTAGAAGTCATGGATGATGCAATCATAACGAAGCTTACATCACTCTGCTGAACAAATTGCCCTATATCAGCTCTAGAAATCATACAGTGTCGTGCTCTCTTATTTGTCAGTGTTTGATTTTGCAAAGGGACACATTTCTGTTTAGCCAAAGTGAGCAGAGATGCCTCGTACTTGTGTGAACAGTGCAGATAACTTCTGCTATGTTTGTGGTGAAGTGACTTTTGCATCACAAAAGCGCAGTATAACCACTATGGTTAAGAGAGCCTATCACCTTTCTTTTGGCTGCAAAATTGGAGATCAGGACAAGAGGTGGGCCCCACACATATGCTGCAACACTTGTGCAACAAACCTTCGCCAGTGGTTGAACAGGAAAAGGAAATCTATGCCTTTTGCAGTGCCAATGATTTGGAGAGAGCCAACAGATCATACCAGCAATTGTTACTTCTGCATGGTGCCTCCAGTTGGGAAAGGTGTGTCAAAGAAGAAAGAGTGGACTGTGCATTATCCAAACATTCCATCAGCTATACGCCCAGTACCCCACGGAGAAGGGCTGCCGGTTCCTGATGCACCAGAATCATTCTCACTTGAGTCAGACGAGGAAGAGGATGAAACTTCTGGTCCTGAACCATCAATGTCACAGGGCCCACATTTTCTCCTATCTTCCTCCTCTGAACCACACCTCATAACACAAGGTGAACTGAATGACCTTGTCAGGGATTTGGAACTACCCAAGAGTAAGGCAGAGCTGTTGGGCTCCAGACTACAGCAGTGGAATCTCCTGGCAGGTGATGTTAGGGTTTCCATGTTCCGTGACCGTCAAAAGGATCTTGTCCCATTCTTCTTCATGGAAGGTGATCTTGTAGCCTGCAACAACATCGATGGTGTGATGGCAGCCCTCAACATCGTTAACGATCCAGATGAGTGGAGACTGTTCATTGATTCATCGAAGACAAGTCTTAAAGCTGTTTTACTGCATAATGGCAATGTTTTGCCATAATTCCAGTTGGTCATGCAGTCCATATGAAGGAAACCTATGACAACATGAAACAACTTTTGAGGTGCATAAACTATGACCAACATCAGTGGCAGCTTTGTGGCGATTTGAAGGTTGTTTGCTCTCTTGCTTGGTCTACAGACTGGATACACAAAGTACTGCTGTTTTCTCTGCGAATGGGATAGTCGTGCAAGAGATTCCCACTACATCAAGAAAGATTGGCCACTCCGACAGTCATTGGAGCCTGGGAGGAAAAGTGTTCAGCATCCACCACTTGTTGAATCAAGGAAGATTTTGTTACCACCCTTACACATCAAGCTGGGTCTGATGAAGAACTTTGTCAAGGCCATTGACAAAACACAAGCAGCTTTCAAGTACCTCCGTGGAAAATTTCCAAGGTTAAGTGAAGCTAAGATAAAGGAAGGTGTCTTTGTTGGTCCTCAGATTCGTCAACTTCTTCGAGATGATGCGTTTGACCATGCACTGCATGGCAAGGAAAAGACGGCATGGAAAGCCTTCCAGTTAGTGGCAATAAATTTTCTCGGAAACAACAAGGCAGACAACTACAGGTTGTTGGTGGAAAACCTCCTCAAGGCATACAAAAGCCTTGGTTGCAACATGTCACTAAAGATACATTTTTTGCACTCTCATCTAGATTTTTTTCCCACCGAACTGCGGAGCAGTGAGCGACGAGCACGGCGAGCGATTTCACCAGGACATTGCAACAATGGAGAAACGCTATCAGGGCAAATGGAGCCCATCAATGCTTGCAGACTATTGCTGGACAGTGACAAGAGATGCTCCATTTAATGAATACAAGAGACAAGCCAAGAAGCGCCGAGTAGATACTGAATAGGACTAAACTATGTACAGAATAGTTTTTTGCCTTTTGTTTCATAATACATTTTATTTATATAACCCTTTTGTTGATTTTTAAAGTGTTACATAAACAGGACAGGTGAAATATTATCATGTAAAGCAACCATAAACACATGAAAAGACCTAGGTTTACAATTTATGATTAAAACTCTACTATCTACACAATATACATAGACATAAAATGTAAAAACTTAAATATCTTAGAAACAGTAGCCAATCAGTTGTTTTAATTGTCATATTTGAATTCAGCACATCAAAATACATAATAAATAGCACATTTTCTCTCTGAAGCAGACGACTTCTCAAAAATTGTAGACCAGTGTAATTAACCCAGACTAGCATTCATTAACCTAAATTAAACAGGTATTCTAGAATTCTGAGACCAGTTGAATAGATTTTTGACCACCAGATGGTGCTGATCAAAATACAAAATGAATGTTTACGTTTATCTTTTATCACCAATAGAAACCTACTTTTATTTTTTTACTTGCAGAACATTTGAGGATTTTGGGAAAGAAGAAACAACAGATTGGAAAGAGCTATCTGGCTGTCAGAATGTCACTGTCACAGAATGTGACTTCTCCTCGGCAATGACAGCTTATTTAGATTCTTATAATGTGCGTATAAGAGCTGAAAGAGGGGAAGAAAAATCTCTGTGGTCTACTATATCATTTATACCAGATTTAATAGGTATGAACTACATATGTATTTTGTTATTAAACAGGTTAATTATTTTTCAATTTACGGTGTTACAGCACAATATAAAATACAGTGTAGAGGTTTGTATTTGTATTATTATTGGCTCTGCTGTTTTATAGAGCAACTGCCTTTTTATGCTTTTAGTAATAGTATTTTTATAGTAACTTTCCTGAGATCTTGTCCAAACACAAGTTATGCTGTTTTAAATAACTTGACTAAAACAGTACAAACCCCTTCCATAAGGATGGCTAAATCCCATTTGTACCTTTGAAAATCTCACCCATAATGTCTAATTTCCCAACCTTTACTACATTTTAGCACTGTATGAAATATGCAATGAATAGACTTGTATTGCTTGGACCATGTTATTTTTATTATCAAATATGTAATGAAATATTTACATTTAATCTAATTAGTAATCAAAATACCTGTGAAGTATGTAAATTAAGATTATTTTGAGACCCTTAGCTCTGACTATTCTGACTTGCATGCTTAGTTATAAGCTTAACATTACTATAACCTATCTAATGTAATAAGCAGCTTTAAGTGATGGTCATGAAAAATTTGACCGATGAGCCCACCATACATGGTGTGCGTCAGTTAGTCTTCCCAACTTTTGAGCTGTGCAGCACTCCAGTGGTAAAGTGGTGTGATGTAGGGCCCTTTATGTTTGCAGGTAATGGTTTTCTATGGTGGCCATCTCTACGCTGTACCCACCCCAATGAATTTCATTCCTAGCATTAGGGAAGAGGCAGGATGGTCCAGATAGGGAATCAGCTCTCCCCCAAAGTATCATATGTGTCATTGCCCCTGTGCTGATGTTGGCAAATGTATTTGAGAAGCTAGCATTCCAGCAGTCCTACCGTCTACCTTTAATTTACCACGAATGATAACCTATATACAGCTGAATCCTTCCATTAATATTGGGTTGGTTCTTGGGGAATGGGCTTTTTTAAAGTAAGTCTTTCTTGTAACCTTATTCCACAAATTTATGACTCTTCATTTCAGAATCAGGAAGTTACCGTAATATTGTTACAGCCAGTAAGTATTACGTTAACTGTCTTCGGTCCCAGATAACACTTGGAGTTTATTCAGTTAAGCTACTGTTAGATTCTACCTGAAGAACTGAAAATTAGGCAGTTCCTTGTAGTTTACTTGTTCAAACATGTAACTTTTGGTTTTTCAACAAAGTTGTTGTGCTTCATGATAATGTTTAATTTTTGCAGCTAAAATTGGTCCTCCAGGAGTGCAGTTAGAATCCATAGATGGAGTGGTGAAAATCAACATTTCCCCTCCAGAAGAAAATCAGAACAGAAAAATGTGGAGAAATGATAAACGTTTTACCTACAATGCAATGTTCTGGGAAAACTCATCAAATACAGAGGTATGATAGGGATTGACTTTCTAAATTAAGGTTAAAATATTGTTTGATTTACTTCAGTTGCTGAGTCACTTCCTAGAATTAAATTCTGCTTTTTAGTATTTTATACATATAATATATCCTAATTTCTATCTGTAGCTTGGTACATTCACTGTTAAAAATAAAGTGCATTGATTTGCTAGGCTGTATTACATCTCTTGCTCAAAGTTTTGGTTCAGTTGCTAATGTCATTAAGCTGGTCCATGCTTAGTTGCTTAAGAACATAACGGCAATGCTGGGTCAGACCAGTGGTCCCTGTAGCTCAGTGTCCTGTCTTCCAACAACGGCCAATGCCAGGTGCTTCAGAGGGAATGAACAGAACAGACAATCATTGAGTGATCCATCCCCTGCCGCCCATTCCCAGCTTCTGGCAGACAAAGGCTAGGACACTCAAAGCATGATGTTCTATCCCTGACCGTCCTGGCTAATAGCCATTGATGGGCCTATCCTCCATGAACTTATAGTTCTTTTTTAAATCCTGTTACAGTTTTGGCCTTCATGACATCCACTGGCTACATGTTTCATAGGTTGACTGAGCATTGCGTGAAGAAGTATTTCTTTTTGTTTGTTTTAAACCTGCTGCCTGTTAATTTCATTGGGTGACCCCTAATTCTTGTGTTATGTGAAGGGGTGAATAAGGAAATGTTATACACTATCTCCACACCAGTCAAGATTTTTATAGACCTCTCTCATATCCCCCTTTTGACTTCACTTTTCCAAGCTGAAAAGTCCTAATCTTTTTAATCTCTCCTCATATGGAAACTGTTCCATACCCCTATTCATTTTTGTTGCCATTCTCTGTATCTTTTCCAATTCTAATACATCTTTTTTGAGATGCGGTGACCAAATCTGCACACACTGTTCAGCTGTGTCTACACTACGCACCTTTTAGCGACACAGCTGTGCCACTACAGCCATGCCACTAAAAGGCGAACAGTGTAGCTGCTGTTTGTCAGCAGGAGAGAGCTCTCCTGCCAACAAAAAATTTCTACCCCCAACGAGTGGCAGTAGCTTTGTCGGCAGGAGCGCTCTCCTGCCGACAAAGCGCTGTGCACACTGGTGCTTTTTGACGGCAAAACTTGTTTTGTTTTTTGTTTTGTTTTTTTGGGGGGGGGTTCACACCTATGAATGACAAAAGTTTTGTTGTTCAGGTTCCAGTGTAAACAAAGCCTTTCTCAGTAGAGCTTAAAGGACTTTGCAAAGGAGAATAAGTATCATTATCCTTATTTTACACATTGTAAAACCAGAGCACAGATATAGCTAGCATGCCATAAGACTCAGGGTGAAAGAATGCAAGATCTTACCACTTCTGAAAGGAAAATCCCATTTCTTATCTTTAGAAGAGAGGTATGTGAATCGGGTGTATGAAAGGTCTATACATTTTAAGGTCATTTGTTACCATTATTTCGCTGAACAGTACAGGCTTACCTTTTCCTCGTTTTTATTTTTCTCTTCTATCTTCCTGCTTTGTGGCAGGGAAAGGATTTATACATTTGTCTGACTGGTGTAGGAAAGTTGGGAAAATCTCAATTATCAGATAAGAAATTACCATTCAGAACATTAAGACTAGAGAGAAATTATGTATTATTTGACATACAAAAAATACTGCAGCATAAGAAAAATATAAATCTATTGCTGGGATTCCTTTCTATAGCAAACTATTATCAAATAGGGAACTATTTAAATTCACTTCAAAATTGCAGAAAGCATTACAAAAACATGGAGTCAATTAATTTTGTTCAGACATTTAAAGCTTTTTTCTTTCCATTCTATACTCCTTGTAAGTTTCAGGTGAGTTTTGAGTATACTGTAGCTTAAGCTGGTTCACAATTCCCACAAATTAAACATGTGCAAAATTACATTGGCATGCCAGTAATATAGTATAAATGAAATATTACCTTATCCCTAATGTCTGAATGTATCCAAATGTCATATGTTCAGGTGACGTCAAGTGATTCTTCAGGACAGTAACACTTCTTATCACAAGTTGAGGCTGTTTGGGAAAGTACAATTACCTTAATATGTTGTTTACAACTGTTTCTTTATGTATTGCAGCCAAAAAGCAAAACTATTAATCGCAGAGACACAATTTATGATCTTGCACCAAAGACTACTTACTGTCTGAAGGTTCAAGCACGCATAATTTCTGAAAGAAAAGTAGGTTCCTTCAGTCCAGTGTACTGCATTAAAACTACAGATAAAGGTAAGAAATAAAAATCCTTTAAACTCTCTAGTAATCAAATCCTACAACTAGCTTGACAGGTTTCAAAATCCATTGCTCCAAAGTAGTAGAACTGTGCAAAATTACCAACATTTCAACTGATTTCTGTGTAACCTCAATAATCTGAACATCAGTTATCCAAACTCCCTGTTATGGACAGCTTAATGTCTTTTAGCATCTACTGAGGTTTTTGATAGTGAAAGGAATTTTCAGTTACCCAAACATAATCAGTGAGCACCATTACATTTAGATTATCGTGGTTCTATTATGCTCCTAGATGCAAAAACAAATATTCCTGTATTTGTGAGTTTGGTTTAGGATAAAACTTTGTTCAATTCCTGTAAGATATTGTTGTGCATACGTGGAAAAACTGAATCAGTTTAGTTGTTCACTGGGAGGAAGGATGTTCCAGTGGCTTGGGTGCACACCTAAGATTTAAAAGACACAAGTTCGATTCCTTGCTCTTTTTTGGGGGGGAGGGATAGCTCAGTGGTTTGAGCATTGGCCTGCTAAATCCAGGGTTGTGAGTTCAATCCTTGAGGGGGCTACTTAGGGATCTGGGGCAAAAATCAGTACTTGGTCCTGCTAGTGAAGGCAGGGGGCTGGACTCGATGATCCTTCGGGGTCCCTTCCAGTTCTATGAGATAGGTATGTCTCCATAATGGGGGGGATAGCTCAGTGGTTTGAGCATTGGCCTGCTAAACCCAGGATTGTGAGTTCAATCCTTGAGGAGGCCATTTAGGGAACTGGGGTAAAAATCTGTCTGGGGATTGGTCCTGCATTGAGCAGGGGGTTGGACTAGATGATCTCCTGAGGTCCCTTCCAACACTGATATTCTATGAAATGCATGATTTTGCCAAGTTAACATGCTATTTTTGTGCAAACCCTGACTTTTTTTGTTCTGAAGCCCAAAAAAGTGATGTCGAATGTACTTGCTTGCAGCTCAATTGTCTTGCAAAGTGCATTTATCCTCTGTCCAAGTGACTTATTTTTTTAAAATAGACATTGAAAAGATTTTACACTCTTCACACTGTGTATGTAGGAACATAGGAATTTTAGTACTTAATTAGACAAGTGGCCCACCTGGTCCAGAATCCAGTCAGAATGCGATCGGTCGCAGGTGATTTAGGAGAGGTAGAAGAAATCCTTTTGGAGACAGTTATGGGATAACTTTCCCCAGGGAAGGTTTCCTCCTTTTTTCCAGAAGCTGGAGCTGGTTATTTTAAAAGTTTCCAAGTAACTGATGAAACCCAAATAAATGATTTTTTTTTCATAGATTACAAAAACAAACAGTTAAGGCAGGAGTAGAACAGTAACTAAATCTGCTACCTCAAAGCAGAAACAAGTATGAGTTTTAAAAAAGAACTATCCTCTTAGTGCCAATGCCCTAGTTCAGTGAAACTTGCAGGAAACGTGATAGATCCGAGTTAGGGCTTACTGAACAAATAAAACTAACATATATTGATAAATGCTGCTTTCATTCTGGTAAGAGAGAAGAGACTAGGAAATAATAATTTTTAGTGAGCTGTCTTCACAAGAAAAATTTCTAATGCAGTTATCTAATTTGGAATTTTAATAGGGTTAACATCCCTCTTCTTGCAGAAAGTGCCATGGTAATGTTCAACTGTATATGGCTTATGTTTTGCAGCTTGTAAACTTTGGTTAAATTATCAGCATTACTGTGTTGTACGTATAGTAGACTTCTTTAAAACCAATAAATAGCATCATTTAAAAAAGTCCCATGAGACCTTTAATGACCACAAGGGTCTGGACGTGGTTTTATGTACCTCCACCAGAGTGCCCCACCTCATAATACCGCTGTTGAATATTGTTTGAGTACTGTCCCTGGGGAGGGAGGAGTTCATCACTAACAGTTTCATGTAGCACCAAGATTTTCCTTGCTGGTATCCCATCCAAGTACAGACCAAGTTCTATCCTGCTTAATTTGTGACATCTTTAGAAAAAGTCCACTAGCTATGCTGTCTTTTATTGGTTTGGTATGGGGTTTCTTACTCTGGTCCAATAACTGACAATGGAATTCATGATTTTATGTTTAAAGTATGCTATTGCTATTGGTTGTCACAGACGGCAGCCAAGGAATTGGAATCCAAAACTTCTATATTACCATATAATAAGAATATATTTATTGCTCACCTCAGTTTCAATTTACGTTTTGCTTAAAGTGAATTGTCTATTGTTCCAGATTCTTTACTTTTGTATAGCTAAGTTTTGCACTGTGTAAAAATCCCCCAGATTTGAGAAATGTAAAATCCCCAAGATTTGAGATAATGCTATGACGGGATCATCATCAGTTGCATCATAGTGCCCTTTATTTGCAGATCTTCCAGAATATGTAATTTGTGAATTTGTATTCATGTACATTATTCCAGCCAGATTCTCACTGACACTGACTTCTCAGCATATTTCCATATTCTAACATTTTTGGGCTGTCTAATATTCTGTTGATTTAAAAACTGATGCTTTCCTACAGAACCCTCTGAGAGCTACATACCCCTATGACTTAATCAGTTGTGTGCACCCACTGCTATGATGGCAAATCAAAGAATATTTTAAAGTTCTATTCAAACAGTTATTTAAAATATACTATACAGATTTTCTTACTGTGGGGAAAAATAAGCGTACATGACTTAAGACTTCTTGATGACAACGATGGTGAGTTTTGTTTTCTTTACATTTTAGCGTGGAATGTGCTACCTTATCCAATGAATGTGGAAGTTCATGCTTTGAACATGAAGTTTCTTCTATCCTGGGATAATCAATATGATCAAAACGTGAGCTTTACAGTACAATATCTCAGGTAAGTTAAATAGTTTTTAAAGCTTTGCTGCTTAAGTAGACTTTAAACTTGACTGTTCTAAATTGCCCTCGATTAGGCCTCTGAAGCTATGTATTCCTAGAAACTCAAGTATGATATTCAGAAAAGTATCTTGATGTACTCATTGAGATAATGGGTACTTCACCCAGTCACCCATGTGGTGTGCTTACAAGAATAATACCAATGTTTGATCATAGAAGTTCACAGCACTCAGTTTCTCTCTGAAGTTTTAAACACCTGCAGGCTAGGCTTCTAAATGTGTACCAGATACTGTTCCTATAAGATGAACACTCACATTTCCTAATCTGCCTTAATACCGAGGAAATTGGTGAGTTGAAGTTGAGAACTTTAACATTTGCATTTTCTGACTTTCTCATGTTTAAGTCCTCAAAGAAATTTTAACATACCCACAGTATGCATACTCTGGGATTTTCAAACACTATTAATGGTTAGGCTGCAAATGTGTAACTTAATATATGTGCAGTGAGTGCACAAATGGTGCTGTCCTCATCTAAATTTAAATGTCCTGATCTGTTCAGTTTTTCATTGAAAATGTTGCATTTAATATATTTTCCCCACTCTTCATTATAATTAAGAATGAACATTCCATGAAAAGATTGAGTTCTGATGGAATGCTTTGAGCATGTCAGCAAAATAGTTGACAGAGAACTGCATGATACAGCTTTGGACTTTGAAGAAGTCTTTGACATAAATTTACACATTCATTACATATGTTTGCCTAGAAACAGGGAACAGAAATGGACATATTCATTCAACTGTAAATTAAATGAAAAATATTGTCAGTTTGATTAGACTAGGGAGTTCATATTGACCACAAAATGTCATTTATTCTAGTGGATATTTAAAGAGACTTCCTGAAGACTATTCAGATAAATGGATCACTGTTTCTGGATGTGAAAACATTACTACTACACAGTGTGACTTCTCATCTGACATAGTCATTAGTGGAATTTACTTTCTCCGAGTACAGGCTATGAATGGATATAATAAATCACGTTGGTCTAATGAAATAAAAGTGGATCCTTGTGTAGTAAGTAAGTGGATATATTTTCTTCACCATTCTTCATTTCTCAGTTGGTTTATACATCGTTAGTATCTGCAGTCAGTATATTCATTTTCATCTTTAATATCTTATTTGTATAGTTCCCCTGTAGAAACACTGGGTGAAAAACGGGCAACACTGAAGCCAGTGGGAGTTTTTTCCATTGATTTCAGTGGAGCTGGGATTTCACTCCTGGCTTGAAAATAGCAAATTACTAACTAAAATTGAGATGCACAGCATCTTCTGCACTTTTTGCATACTTTAACTTTCCTCGTTCATTAACTATATTATATTAATCATTTTGTTATGTAAATCTTAGCATACCAGATCTAAGCAGGAGTCCCTCTAATCTGGCATTTGCCTTGGATGCAGGGCGAGTTCCTGATGTGTCAGAGAAGGGGGAAACTAGAAAACCAGTCAATTGTGGAGTGCTATAAATGTGGGAGAAGAGATTCCTTACAGATCTGGTCCTCCTATGTATGCTAGTTTATACTCTAAAGTAGGCGCAGTTGGGAAAGTAACTCAGATACTTTCCTGGTGGACTGTGTTTCTCTCTAAATGGACAACCTATCCTAAATTCTCAATTACTGAGGGACAATCTTCACTCATTGATATAATTTGCTTTCTACCACCAACTCTCTGTATAACGTTTTTCATGAGTAATGTACCCGAATGCAAGGAGGCTAAATATCTAAACTGTATTCTTAAATGCATTCACCTAAATTTGGGTTATTGCTGATTATGTACTATATGTATCTTATGACTTTAAAAACAAACTTTGTATTTTTGAATAATCTAAGCACTATACCCAGATGTACAGACACTTTTTTCTCAACCTATGTATTATATAATTTATTTAACATTAGCTTTAAAATTTTTATTTCTAACTAGTGGTTTGCAACTCCCAGGGAAGTTATAAAAGACGACTGGGGAGAGGGTTGCAAGGCACTGAAAACTTTACTACAATCTAAAACGGGTTCTCAAACCTCATTGAACCGCGACCCCCTTCTGACAACAAAAATTACTACATGACCCCAGGAGGGGGGACTTGAAGCCTGAGTCTGCCCAAACCCCACTGCCTCGGGCGGTGGGGCTAAAGCCCAAGCCCCACTGCTCTAGGTGTGGGGGGCCAAAGTCTCAGGGCTTCAACCCCAGGTGGTTGGACTTGGGCTTTGGCTCTGGCGACCCCATTAAAATGGGGTCCACTTTGGGGTCCCGACCCACAGTTTGAAAACCGCTGATCTAAAATAAAGAAAATCTTGCTCTGGCACTCCTTGCACACCTTACTTTTCAGTGTCCTCCATTTTGTCAACCTTTCAATGCACAAATTATATAGGCTTATCAGTTTTATCATTGTTAATTTTTTTCAACTCTTTACATTTACTATAAAAGTGTTTTTTAATTGGAGTTAAGGAGTTTCAACCTGAAAAGGCTGAGAAAACATTACCTTATAACAGTGGTCACCAACTGGTTGATCGCGATCTCCGGTGGTACAGTGTGGTTGCCGCTAAGGCAGACTCCCTGCCTACTCCGGCCCCAACCTGCTCCCAGAAGCCGCCAGTGCAGACCTGTGGTCCCAGGGGCGGGGAGGCAGGGGTCTCCTTCCGCGTGCTGCTGCTGCCTGCAAGCAGCTCCCCTGCAGCTCCCGTTGGCAGAACTGTGGGGGCGGTGCTTACAGAGGGGCAGCACGCAGAGCCACGTCCCCCAAGGGCCGCAGGGGTGCATTGCGGGAATGGTGTGAGACCGGGGTAGGCAGCTACCACCAACCGGGAGCCGCTGGAGGTAAGTGCTGCCCGGCAGGAGGCCACACCCCAACCCCCATCCCTGAGTCCCCTCCTGGGGCCAGCACCCAATATCCCCTTCTGCACCCCAAACCCCCTCCTGCACCCCAAGCCCCACCCTGAGCCCCCTCCCAGAGCCAGCACCCCAAACCCCCTTCACCCCAACCCCCATCCCTGAGCCCCCTCCTGGAGCCAGCACCCCATACCCCCTTCTGCACCCTGTACCCCCTCCTGCACCCCAACCCCCAGTCCAGTGAAAGTGAGGATGGGGGAGAGCAAGAAATGGAGGAGGTGGTGGAGTAAGTGGGGCAGGGCTTTGGGGAAGGGGTGGGGCCTTGGGGAAGGGGCAGGGTAGATCTGGGTTGCCCTTAGATTCAAAAAGTGATCTTGGGCATAAAAAGGTTGGAGACCACTGCCTTATAAGATTTGGCTTTTCTTACCCTTTTACTGAAGGCTGAAAATCAATAATGCTTCTCGCCTGGCTTATACCTCTGGGGGTAAAAGAGGAACTGCTTCCTAATCCAGCTGATCAGTTTAAGAAGCACAAAGACTGTCATAGTCCTTGTAATTGTTGCTGGGTGGTAGATGTGAAGGCCTTGCATGTGGGCTTCCCATTGGAGAAGAAATGGGTGGTATGGAGTCTGGATATATTAGTTCAACTTGTTTGTTTTATGCTATATACACCAATCTTTTGAACACAGTTGATCACAAATAGCATGCATGTAATCCCCTTTCGGAAATCGCAGTCTATAGATCAGTGTCTGGTTCTCAGGAAGAAGCTCTGCCCCAAGAATTGACTTCAGACAGAGGAAATAAGACAGTGCAAACTCTCCTGCTGTTTGCAACAGCTCCCCCAACAGAATACATACTTTACCTCAAAAATTAACAATAATACAGCAATTCTTCGAAGAATGGATAATGTTTGCACACTAAGGAAAAAATAACTAAGACTAACTGCCATCTGGTGACACTTATTTTTATTTATACTAGCAGGATAAAAACATTTATTTTCATGTTTTCATTAGCTCTCCCTATTAAATTAAACTATCAAGTAGATATTGCAATGCATGTTTTAAAATTTCAGTAGCTCTATTTTGACTGATATATATCACAACTTCGAAGTATCATTCACAGTGTGACTGAAAGCTCAAAAACAACAAATACAATATTAATGCTAAAACATTAGCGTTAAACGTTTACATCATTGTGCCTACTTTCCCGTCTCCCCCTATTTGTTTTTGTAAAGGTACTAGTAAAAGCCAGATTTCTAGCCATAAATCTGAAAACCTTTGCTGTTAAGGGTTTAATCAGAGCTGTAACATTTTTTATTTACATGTTTTAGCTAACAGATTTTTAACTTTTTTTTTTTGTATGTGTGTGTGAAATGTTTTAAGATGAAATTGGCCCTCCAAGCGTAACAGTAAGCTCTAGTAAGGATTCGCTTCGTATCCATCTCACTCCTCCAGGAGAGTCTGAAAATAAGTCCATGAGTGAATTTTATGACTTATCTTACCGTGTTCTGTACTGGAAAAATTCTTCAGATACTGAGGTAAAAAACTTTTTCAAACTTCTTTAATTAAAAAGGTATAATAATAAGTAACATGATTTTAATGTTACACTAAGACCTTCCCCCTTAAAAAGTTTAATTTCACAAAGAGCCTTGTTATGATTTTCTTGTTGCAGAGCTCACATAAAATGTAAAATCTTGCTGGGATGTATACATCATAAAGTAGGCAAAGATGGTAATATTGGTTGGTTGATGGCAGCTATCCTTCATGATATTGCCTCTGTACAGTCATTTTAGGAATCTTGCATGTATGGCTGCTGATGGATCATTTTTGAGTAGTTGACTGCATGGCTCTCTGGAAGCAGTTTATTTAGGACCTGACCCTGTGCACATTGAAGTCATTGATAAAGCTCCCATTGACTTCACTGGTGCAGGATCAGGCTTTTAGAGAAAAAAATTACTTCAGAAAGTTATTGGCAGCTTTATGGCCACTCAGTTCAAAAACCAGTAATTCTTATATCAGTTACTCCAAGGAGGAACAAAAAAGCTGGCATAATACTAGTTGAATTATATCCCTGTTGATCTAAAAATATTCTTTTTAAATTCTCAGCACTGAAGTTTGTATGGCATTTCTAGTTAATTCAGAGCTAAGGTTAGACTGAATTTCTCTGCATTTATGAATTCACACATTTTTAGTTGACATTTTGATGTGATTTTTCCATTTTTAAACTTGTGTAATAAATTCTTTAACTTTGTTTGTTTTACAAGACTATAATAAGAATGCACATATGAAAAGATATCAGAACACTTAAACATACCAGAAAGTTTGCTGTATGTACAGCTCAAACTTTGAAGTGTACTATTGGAAGCACCTTTTCAAAATAGTGAAAATGGTTGGTTAGTTTGCGAACTAATACTTTCTAAATGTAGTTTTGAAATTGAAACTTTTGATTTGAAAGAGTGAAGTATAATTAAAATTATACAAAAATATTTTTTTCAGTATTGCATTATCTACAATTTTAATACAGTTGAATCAATCACATACTGTTTTTTTAACTTGCATTTCTTATTTTTCTTTCAGGAGAAAATCAAAGAAGAACAGTTGTTATTCACAATCTCTGACTTGACACCCTTGGTTTTGTACTGTTTGAAAGTACAAGCATTTTCACCAGCATATAAAAAAGATGGTCATTTTAGTGATGTGGCATGTATTAAAACGCTTAATGGTATGAAAAGTTTAAATATATGTTTGGGATATATTGAAACTCAGTTCAGAAATTTTTATAATTTAGGCTACAATAAAATGACTTAACCTAAAATATGCAATTTCCTCTGGAAAGACATATTTCTCCATATACTGTAAAATTTGAAGTAACTATTGTGAATTGTGACATCAAAAATCAGCATGATTTAATTTACACTAGTTACATGGGATGGTCCATGAAAATAAAAGTAAATGCAAATCAGAATTAAGTTAGAAAAGTGTGAATTATACTTTGATAGTTTCAAGTTTATTGTATTGTGTCTTAAACTCTCTCTGGGAATAGGTTGGATTAAAAGATCCTGTACTGGTAAGAAGGGGGCAAAGTGTATAGCTCATCACTGAGTGAAATCCCATCCATGTACAGATGGCCAGCACAGGGGATTATTTTTGTCCTATGTGAACACCAAGGGATGATGTTTGTAGAATTTCTAACTGACCTTATGGCTAGAAATGTTTTCAAATATTTAAATTGTCTTAGAGTAACATGGAGTTGTTGGCTTAAAACTATCACCCATATAAACATTACTTATTACATATTGGCACTTATAATCCCCAAATGTGGTCTTTTTTTTCTAAGCAATCTATTTAATTCCTTTTATCTTCATATGACAGACCTTTTATTCTTCATATCCATTTTACTGTTCTTGGGATTTTTTTGATTATTTTTTTCTCCGCAGTAAGAAGCCTACATCTGTAGTTAGGATCCAAGCCATGCCTTACCAACACTCTATAAAGAGAAATTGTTTCATTGATCTTGCACATAATGCCCCATACATCAGACTGTAGGATTTTGTTTTTACATCACTTATCTGGAAGTGGAAAGTACTGGCTGCATTGTCTGTAGCTTTTGAAAGTATATTCAGAATGCAGACAGCTAATGAAAGGGAGAAAAGAAAATGGGCATATTCCAGAGTAGAATGGGTGAAACACTTGTAGTAAATCCCAGGTTCCTCAAAAGAAAGCTTATTCTCTGATGCTTACAATTCTTTGGAATTAAGAGCTGGATTCTGCCATCCTTACTCATGTTAAAACACTTAATATCTTATTCCACAAATCTATTTGATGCCAGTGGAAAATCCACTTGATCCTGCAAGGTGCTGAGAATTCTGGCCCCAATTATTTCAATGGTCTACATACCTGCTTAAAGTTAAGCACACACTGCAGTGCTTTGCTGATTGAGGCACCTGACAAGATGAAGCCTTAAATAGAGAAAACAATATCTTGATTAAAGGCAGCAGAATATGGTTCTGTGACAAGCTGCTGGGGATACCTAGAGCTGTGACACTATGCTACCCCTTTCCATATGAGCTTAAACTTAATTTTTTTAAGTGTTCGTTTTTCTTCAGTAGGTGAATTTCTTAAAATGTTTGTCCCATTAATGCTTAAATTAAATTATTGTGGAGGTTGTTGCCACAGGAAGTAATTGAAGCCAAGAATTTAACAAGTTTCCAAAAGAGATTGGATATCAAGAATATCCAGAGTTGTTAATGATGACAAATTTTGGAAGAGATATTAAACTTCATGCTTCAAAGTTTAGGGCACTCTCAACTATTAATCAGGAAGACACCTAGGTGAGAGGCAGATTGTCCCACATCTGCCTACTGTGTGGTTCTTACATTTTACTCTGGAGCATCTGTACTGGCCACTGTCAGACAGGGAATTGGACTAGATGGACCTTGGCTTTGATCCAAAATGGCAGTTTCTAGGTACCTAAATTTGGTGCTGAAAACCTTTTGCTTTGTTTCAGTAGAATGCTCTAAGCTATTGGGATGGTGTGAAGATTTATTCATATTCATGTAATGCTTTCAAGAAACACTGTAAATGTGAAGTTTTATGGTGTAGCCTTTACATTGTATATGATCTTTAAATATAGAGATCTTGGTGATGGGACACTTCATGAATACCTAGATAAATTAATTATTATTTCTTTATTTTTTTAGATAAAACTTCACCTCTGACTATTTTGAAAACCTTTGTAATCGCCATGATTGCCTTTTTCCTTTTTGCATCATTTTTGATTTTTGGTATATATTATATATCTAGATGGATCAGATATGCGTTCTTTCCATCATACAAACCTCCTTCAAACATAGAGGTAAGGTTTTGACTATCTTTCCAAGAATGTAACTATTCAAGGCTCAAAGAACACTAGAATGTCATCACATAATATATCTGATTCATTGTTCTAAAGAATAGTGTCAGGGAGGCTTGCCAGGATTAGATATCAAGAGTTTAATGATAAAGTATGTGAATTAGTCTGATATCTTGTGATTATTACTGATTTCTCTAAATCTGTGATAAGCAGATATTTCAATTTGTATGGAAAAAAGGGGGACAGCCTATTGAAAGCCATTACGAAATAACATTTTAGGATTTCTACCTTGTCAAGCTGACCCAAAGAAGGGGAAAAGCCCGTATCAAATTTTAGTTTTAAATAAAGGAATGCCTTTGTGCAAATGTTTTTCTTCCAAGCTTCAGGTTTTGCTTTAAAAAAACCTACTTTTTATGGGACGTTACATCCTCTAGTAGCTGATGGATAAAGAATAAGTGGAGTAGATGAGAATGAAGAAAGTTCATGGAGTGCTCCTTTCCCATGAGTTCCTCTGAGTCTCCAACTCATGTTCCCTTCTCTTCTGCCCCCCAACACACCTAATTGTACTGTGGTTGATGGATGAGGAGCTTAACTTTTGTAGCTGTTGTAGACAGCTCTGTTTTCTGTCTTTAGCTCCTTTATTCATTTTAGTTCCATTTTCACCTATTTACTCAACTAAGTAGTTTAACTGTCAGTTCCTTGCAAATATAGGATAAGTTAACTTCTTGAGGTAGTGTGTTAAAGCTGTGATGTGCTCTGGCAATTGTTTTATCTGTTCCCTAGAGATAAGTGCTGAAGGTAGTGAAAAAGTTAAGACAAGACTCGGCCAAAATAATACCAGTCACTCTAGCGTGGCCAAGACAGCAATAGTACGTGAACCTCCTACTCCTGCAGAGGGAAATACAAACATGTGCCAGTAATGATGGACCTGCTTTCCCAGTAGAGGGAGTCTCTTTTATCCAGATCCAAAATCACTATATCTAGTGGCATGGATGATAGGATTTAAAACAGATTTTAAGAAACCTTGTTCTGTAGGTGTGCAACATGTATTAATCAATTCTAGAAAAGTAGACTAGAAAAATGTTATGATTCTAAATGGAGAACTGTATTTTATGGCTGACTGACTAGGATATTGATCCTGTAACCATTCCTATTCAATATATTTTAGAATATTTACTACACTTAAAATCTATGGGTTAATCTGTTTCCTCACTTAATCCATTTGGCAGCAGTAGCAATTTTTCATTTCCCTATTAATGATAAATATCTTTTTTTCATATGACTGTTAGAAGGTTTTGCAGGGTTTATTGAACTTGTATCTGCCAGTAGGAAATCCAGTTCCTAATGGGATCTAAACTTGGTATTAACCTCTCTCCATAAAAGCAACTTTATAATAGGAATTGCAGTTCCATAATTCTTCTAGATAGACAGACTGTGTTTTGATGGTAGACCTTCTTTCTCCTGGTTTTTCATAAGGACAAGGATGTACCTAGACCTCACCCCAAGTTTATCCTAAAGTAATTTCAGCTTTTGATGTTAATCAATATACTGGTTATCTTTCCTGGATCTCATGCTCATAAGGGTGAGTGTAGATTAGCATTCAGACATAGTTTTATTGTTATCTCGCTAGAACTAAGGAGTTTAGGCCTTTCCCAAATTGTTCATTTCCTGTGCTGGAAACTTTAGGGGCTGAACTGTTTCTACACAGTCCTTGTCTAGATGGTCTAGACAGCATATAGAGTAAAGTTAAGATCTCCTCTCTCTCTCTCTCTCTCTCTCTCTCTCCTCCTGCTGGTCTCAGAACTCTCTCAACTAGAGTGGTTGGTACCTCTGTGGCATGTTCCTCTTTTTGAAATATGGGTCTCAAAGTGTGTACTTGTGATATTGGTGCAGTAGCTTCCTGCTCCAAAGGGCTAGAGTCTGTATAATCTTTTGTATTTTGCTGAGCACATTGTGTAAGTGGTTAATACTGTACTTATTAGCACAGTAAAAAAATGAGAAATTAGTTATGGCCATATAGACTGTGGTGTGATGCACGACTCATCCCTGCAGTGCTCCTGCTGGTCGTCTCAGGGAATTAGTGTTTCCAGCCTCCGGAGCGCCCTCTGCAGGCCGATGTCCTGCTGCCGCTGGCCCCCGTGTCCCTCCCAGGACCCGGTGCCCCTTGTCTTTGGGGTGCTGCTCCCTGGAAATACCCCCACAGTCTCAGGGTCTCCCCACCCAGGGGAACCTCCAACCCTCTATCCCCACCTTGCCTCAGTCATGGGCTACTGTCTGTCACCATCTAGCCCCCGCTCACTGGGGCAGACTGCAGTGTAAAAGCCACTTATCATAGGGTTACCATATTTCCACAATCAAAAAAGAGGACACTGGGGGGGGGAGCCCCGCCCAGCCCCCCTCCACTCCCTCCCACTTCCCAACCCCCCCCGCTTCTTGTCCCCTGACTGCCCCCTGCTGAGAACCCCCCACCCTAACTGCTCCCCTAGGACCCTACCTGTCCCCTGACTGCCCCGACCCTTATCCACCTGCCTAAGGCTCTGGGAGGGGGCTTGGGTGGGGGGAGGAGGTCTGGGGTGTAGGTCCTGGGGTGGGGATTAGGGTGCAGGAGGGGTGCAGGGTGCAGGCTCTGGGATAGAATTTGGGTGCTGGGTGCAGGCTCTGGGCTGGGGCAGGGGGTGGGCTTGCAGGACGGGGTGAGGTGTGCAGGCTCTGGGATGGAGTTTGGGGGTGGGAGGCAGTGCAAAGGGAGGGGGTGCCGGCTTTGGGAGGGAGTTTGAGGGCAGGAGGGGGTGTGTGGGAAGGGGGGAGGGGGTTTGGGAGGGAGTTTGGGGATAGGAGGGGATGCAGGGGTGAGGGCTGTGGGTCTGAGGATGAGGGGTTCATGATGCAGGAGGAGGCTCAGGGCTGGGGCAGAGGATTAGGGTGCGGAGGGATGAGGGCTGGGGCTGAGGGGTTTGGGGCGTTGGAGAGGCTCAGGGCTAGGGTGGAAGGGCAGGGTAAGAGCAGCCTGGCTTCCCATTAGTGGATGGGGGACGCTAGGACCCGGGGGCAGCAGACAGCAGTTGCTGCTGGCTCTGGCAGTACAAGCAGGCAAGGGAGAGGCAGGCAGGGAGAGGGGGGCCCACGGAGGGGGGGGGGATGCGCAGAGGGGGGGTGGCAGGTGGAGGCCGGGGACCCATCCAATACTCCTCCGCTCCCTGACTGCCCCCCCCTGGACTCCCCTTACCATTCTGGCTCCACGTGTTTGCAAAACACGCTGCCCGGTGGGTCGGTTTGTGTGTTACACAGGGCTGCAGACAGAGGGAGGGGGGAGCAGGGGAGGGCTCTGGCTGCTGGAGGCCAATGGGAGTGGGTCAATCGGCCCAGCCACCCAATCAGCAGCCGCACTCTGTGTGGAAGGGAAGGAGGGAGGCGAAGGAGAAAAAAAAACCCGGACATTTTAACCTTGTAACCAATTCCTCCCGGACGGCTATTTAGAGACGCAAAAGCCGGACATGTCTGGGGAAATATGGACGGATGGTAACTCTAACCTATTATAGGCAAGGGGAGTTTGGACCTGCTGCCTCTGCCTACCTGTGGGCTGCCCCTACAACTCCAGTACCTAATTGGCCTTCCACTAGGCTACAGCCTGGGGGGTTTTCAGGCCGGAGTTCCACAGCGCCCTTGGCCTTCCCCATAGGGTGACCAGATGAGAGGAAGAAAATATCGGGACACGGGGGGGTTGCCCACCGGCAGAGCCAAAAAAGAAAAAAAAAAAAGCTGAATGCTACTGGCGGAGTGAAATATCGGGACAAATTGCGTCCCGACCAAAGATCGGTCGGGACGCGGGACAAACACCTAAATATCGGGACGTCTGGTCACCCTATTCCCCCAGCCCTGCTCCACTCCAGGTACCTTCTCTCAGGTCCCTCCCTCTCAAAGCTAGAGAGAGTCTGTCTCTGGCTTCAGGCCCCAGCCCTCTTATAGGGGCCAGTTGGGCCCTCATTAAGCCAGCCATGGCCTGATTGGGGCGTGGCCCCCAGCTGAGGCAGCTATCCCCAATCAGCCCCGCTTTTCCTTCCCTGCCTCAGCCCACTCCCAGGGCTGTTTTAAGCCCTTCAGGGCAGGAGCGGGGTGACGACCCCGCTACAGACTGATAGACTGTAAGGCCAGAAGGAACCACCATGATCATCTAGTCTGACCTGCACATTGCAGGCCACAGAACCTCACCCACCCACTCCTGTAATAGACCCATAACCTCTGGCTGAGTTACTGAAGTCCTCAAATCATGATTTAAAGACTTCAAGTTACCAAGAATGCACAATTTACACTAGTTTAGAGACATAGCTAGAGACATTTTGTACTACTTGTCTGTATTTACATACCAAAGCAACCTTTATAGCTAAGTTATTAACTCCTTAAAAAAAGGTGCCATACTATAAGTAGAGACATCATTGTACTATAGAATATAATGGGAACAAGACTGCAAAGCAGCCGCATTAACCAAAGCCAGATTTAAGCTTATAACTAATAATTTTGTTTTTCCTCTCTCCTTCCATTCTTCCCATCTGCAGTGCCTTGGTGGACAACCTTTCAACAGTCCGTATCTGTCAACTTCAGAGGAGCCAACAGAAAATTGTTGTATAATTGAGAATATTGTTATAGAGGAAACAGATCAAACTGATTTTAAAGACTACAAACACTCTAAACAGAGCACTCGAGATTCAGGAAATTATTCTAATGATGATGATACTTCTGGAACTAAAGTGTTAGAAGAAACGCTAGAACAAGAAACAGCATAACTAAAAATAACCTCAAACTTGAGACTGGCAGCCTAACTAGCATTTTGCTGTTCTCATTACATATGAAAGAGTCTTTGCCTGACAAGGGCAGGCTGATGTCAGACTGTTGATCCTAAAGTTTCTAGTTTTGCTTTTAAGTATTGCAAAATTACTTAAATGTGAGGAACAAATATTACTACTGCTCCTCCAGAAAAAGGATATTCTTCTGGTACACCATTTTGGTTGGTATTTGGTACTAGCCTTTCTGTTTACCATGTGGATCCTGAAACATCAGCAAAAGTCCTGTGATGTCTCCACAGAAAAGACAATCTTCACCCATCTATGTTGCTGGTAGTAGATGCCAGCATATGTAGACAGCAGCCTCAAAAGAGAATTCTGCTAAGCTTCCTTAATCCTGCTCTTGGAATTCCTGGTGCCAGTGGTGCATTGTATGTGCTGGTGTCAATTCTGTTAACTTTAAACATATTACTATCAATATACCGTTCTCCCAGACAATTCAGCTAGCTTAGCAAACATGCAGAGGTAGAGGCAGAAAAGGGATTTTTCTCAGGTAAATATTAGCTGAAGGAGTTAAAGGAAAATAGTGGGTGCTTGTTGTAAGAATAGTTTTGGGCAACTTTGTCTTGATCGTTCTAGCCTAACAAGCACTACTACATCCAGAATAAAACAGTGATCTTGCAGATCAGATGTGCCTAAAAGCAAAATCTCAGCCTTGTAAGAACAGAGCAAATTCTATTATGCACATTAATGCCGAAGCAAGTTACGGAGCTTATACTTGTCTGTTTAGTAACCAGATACCCATAAGCTGTAACATTTTTACCCACAACTGAGATGTATTTAAATGTGAAATTCTTTCCTACATTTGAAAATAACAAACGTTTTATTTTCAACTTGTTCTTGAATTCCTACTGATCATAAATGAAGGGCAAACACACAACCATCAAATGGAAATGGCTTTGGAAAATTGGATCCTTTAAATCCCCCACCATAAAGCCAAAAGATCACTAAAATTTATAAACCTGAATCCAACTGATTTTAATGTGGTGCCACATGTACATCTCTAGATACTGGTATGGTTGAATCATCTTTGCTTTAAATAATTCCTCTGTGTGTATGCTTCAATGATTTTTGTATGTTGCTGGGGTAAATTAGTTTTCTCATTATGATTGCACTGCAATTACTAGTTTGATTGATAATTCCTCTTGACTGACAGAATGGCAAGAATAGTCACCATTTACAAACTTTTCCAGCTCAGATCTTACTTTATCAGTGGGCTCTTGTTTATACAAAACATGATACATGCTGCACTGATACTTGAAAAAAATTTACTCCACTCTTGTGGATAATTTTTCCACTCTTATTCTTGTCATATGGGATTTTAAAAATAGTTTCCTGTTTTATGGGGAAAGTTGACTTGGAGTAAGAACCAGAACACGCTCTTCCAGCTTTCATGTAAATTTATAACGTGGTATAGGTAATTGTTGGTTTCTTTCAAAATTTGAATATTTTTAATCTCTAAGATCTAAGTGAGTGTTCCCAGCTCAATCCTCAATACTTATTGGACAGGATAGTATGTTTTATAGGATAGTTTCTTTTTTCCCCAGCATAGTTCTGCTTAGTCCTGTGAAAGTGAGGCTGGAATTGCTTAGGATAATAACCTGTAGTTAGAAAGGAAAATACAGCATTTGGACATGACATGAATTTTCCTCTAACTAGTTCTAGATTTGGGGAACGTTCATTATTTTACCTTTTGGCACTTTGAGCAGAGTAGAAATGTTTTTCTTGTCTCCCTCCCCTCTACCATTCCCTCCCCTTCCCCCCCCCCCAGAAAAAAATCAGTTTTTGGTGGTTGTTTTTTAATGCCCTTGTGAAAGTTTGGCAAATTTGTTTCCAAACATTGTAGGTAAATTGAAAATAACCAGACATCCCTTGAGCTTTTGAATTGTTTGGTTTTTTACTATAGTAGTCTAGGAGGATACATGTGTAAGCCATGCCCACCTCATGTGGCACTTTGTCACTGGTGGTGGCTAGGCCACAGAAATTAGTTTGTAGCTTCCAAGAGATGCATTGGAATAGCCCAGTCTTAGCCCCATTCATTGGCCCGGCCTCGAGTGTCTGATGGTGGTCAGTGCCAAATGTTTTAGAAGTAGACATAAAACGTCCCTAATTCACCTAATTGTTGTAATAGAGCCAAACTCTGGCTTTAGATCAAAAAAATTTCAAGAAGCGCGGGGGAGGGAGGGGAGACGGGACACCTTTAACTTTTGCAGATAACTGTGACCTTGGAGAAGGCAGTGTTGTCTCCTTTTTGGACCAGGGAACTTGAACTTGGAGTCAGAATTGCCTGGGTTCAGTGTACAGTTTTATCAATTAGTGTGGCCTTGGGCAAATCACTTAATAGCTGTACCTGAGTTTGTGACGGTGCTGGGCGATCCTTAATTAAAGGAGCTATAAAACTGTATCATACATACAAATTGTAATTGGATATAGTTTTGCATCTCTTCTTGTTTATGCAGCCGTTAGTGCTTTGTGCTGCAGATGTACCTCCTGGGACTACTTTCCCCAAAAAAGTTATTTTGAAAATAGCATTTCTTAATCATAGCCTATTTCTTCAGCAGTATTTAAGTTTGGAACACATTCTTCCATTTTGGGGGATTTTTTTGTAGATAGTCTTCCTTTGTTTTGTTTTTCTCTTCTAAGGAGAACACGTCCGTTGATATTTCAATGGCTAGTGGTGAAGTATTACTTTTTGGAAATGATCATTTACTGGTGACACAGATTTGGTTGGCTCCATGTGTTATGGCTGTTTTCCAAAGATTATTGTGTTTAATATGAGGGATTTCACTGTAAATAATCAAACTGTTGATGGCTGAAAAATCTCTGAAAGTTACAGGTGTAAGGCTAGCTTAGGCAACTTCCTCTGACTTCAGTGGGAATTGCACCTGTGTACATCAAACTTGTACTATAGTGTCATCCTACTGGATATTTGGTAGTACATTCATTGTATTGCTGATCTGTTCACCACTTTAAATATCTCAGAGGCAGATGCTCTGTAGCACCCGTTTGGGGTTGGCTTCAGTTTCCCCCTTCTCAAATCTCTGAGCAGGAGCTTCACAAGTCTCTTGCTGTTATTACACCCTGGCTGGGCTTGTTTATTGGCACAATTGTAAATTTCCAGTTCCCCAATAGATTTCCCAACTGCCCAGCCAGAATAATTTGGCCCTTGGGACTTTTGTCCTCTGCAGCCTCCTCTTTCTAAGACCACTTTAAGAACAGTCCCAAGCCAAACCTATAATCCACAGAGCCTCTTTAAATCTGCTCTTCCTGGGCTGTTTTTCCTCAGACAGTATTAAGTACAGTCCCCAGCAAAATTAATAAATGGCAGATCCAGCCACCCCTTCCCAGGCTGTCCCCAGAGGCAGACTCCTTTGCTGATCCCAAGATTACTTATTTTCCGCACCATGCTGGCAGTGTCTGTTTCCTCTTTCTCTTCTGAATAACTCTCTGATTTTATATGATGCATGCCCCCGCATTAGGAGGCACTTAACTGACCACAGATGGGTGGGGCCTGTTCCCTCTTAAGGGACCAATCCTAGCTGTAACAATCAGTTTTTGACTTCTATGCAGTCTTTCTGGAAGTGTATTGCTTCCACTTTTTCCACAGGAAGCCCCACTACTCCAAGACTGGTTCCCTGACTTCAGCACCTCTTTCTCACCATGCCCTTCAGCAAGTCCAAAGGCATTTGGACACTGGTTGGAGACTTAGCCATTTGGGAGCTATGCAAACAGCAGATGTTTGCATTGACACAGGCAGGGCCGGAGCAACCATTAGGCAAACTAGGCAGCCGCCTAGGGCGCCAAGATTTGAGGGTGCCAAAAAGCGGTGCCCAAAATGTCTGGGATGCTCACCCAGCACCGGCTAAACGTGTAACCCTCTTTCCTGCCGCTGTGCGAGGGGGGGCTGTGGCTTTGATCAGTTCCGGACGGCCGGGAAATGATGTCTTCCTCCTCCGGCCGCCGGGGGCGCTGCGCTGCTCCCTGCTGCTCTGGCTCTTCCCCAGGGCCCCCACCCCGCCCCCACTCCCCTGACCTCTGCAGCAGGGCCAGGGCTGCACTCACAGAGACCTGGCCCCAGCCGCGCCCCCGTTGAGTGCTGCGGGGTGGTTCCCCACTGCCCTCAAAGCCAGCCCCGCCCACCCGGAGGCCTGGGGCTGCGTAGGGCCCCAGAATATCTTGGGACAGCCCTGGTACCCTCCACCCTGCCCTCAGCCAGTCCCTGCTGCACCCCCCGCCCTACCCGCACCCACTGCCCTGCCTGCAGCCAGCCCTACACCCAACTCCAGCCAGCCCCTGCTCTACTCCCCTGCCCTGCCCGCAGCCAGCCCCTGCTGCACTCCCCTGCCCTGCCCGCAGCCAGCCCCACATCCCCTGCCCACAGCCAGCCCCTGCTGCACCCCCTGCCCTGACCACAGCCAGCCCCATACTCCCCTGTCTCCAGCCAGCCCCTGCCGCATCCCCATGCCCAAAGCTAGACAGCCCCACACACCCCTGTCTCCAGCCAACCCCGCACCCCATCTCCAACCAGCTCCACATCCCCTGCCCTGCCCGAAGCCAGCCAGCCCCACACCCCCGTCTCCAGCCAACCCCTGCTGCACCCCCCTGCCCAAAGCCAGCCAGCCCCACACCCTGTCAGGTTATTCATTTATTTTCATTAAATATGTAGACTAAATCATGAAATTAATAAATTTTCAAGCCGAATGTGTATGTATTCTAATGAACAATTCCACATTATGCAGTATTCATTTTTGAAAGTTTATAATAAGCGATGCTCCGGGGGGCAAGGTGGAAGTTTCGCCTAGGGTGCAAAATATCCTTGCACCGGCCCTGGACACAGGACAGCCTTTTCAAAACAGGATATTTATTAGACAACAGGAATACAGTCTTTAGGTACATTGAGTTAAAATGGTAAAGCAAAACCTTAATGTATAACTGTCCTAACTTACCAGGTTGTCCTTGCTTAGTTAGGTAGCTCTCTCTTTGCTCTGGCCTAGAAGGCAAATTGCACATTTGCAGCAAACCTCTCTGCCTCTGTGGGCATGTTACACAGCAAAAAAAAAAATAGCAAAAAACCCACAACCGCCAGTCTCAGAGCCTGGGTCAACTGACTCTGGCTCCCAGGGCTCAGGCTCTGAGGCTAAAATT